TGGCTGGGCCACTTCAACTTCGAGAAGCGCCAGGCCAATAAAATAAGTGCCCCAGGAGCTTACTAGCTAAAGCCAAGCTTTGCACGGACCTGGAGTACTAATATGGGATTTCTCATTCTCATTGCGTTCCATTAGTGGCCTACTCCGCATCCCATTTCATTACTTACTGCTTGCCGAAAAGCCGCTGATAAAGGCCCCAAGTACTTTCAAGTATCAAATTCGACAACGAAAAAGAGACCTAGATCACTCATCATCAGATCACTAACAAGCTTATAAGGAAGGTCTTTCAGGGTGTGCCAAGCTTTTCAAAACGGTCTTTTGCATGATATAGAGGCACATGCGGGAACCACAGAACCATGGTTAATTTTTCCTGAACGGCCCTCTGAATACCAGAAAAGGGGGTCCCTAGTCACACCTTTTTCACCAGTTTTTCAATCAAAGTCTATTTGTAAAGGTTACTGACGTTCCTAATCATGAATTTGGTACTAATTATTCATGCTAACTCCATTTTGCGCGAATTTGGAAACGTCAACACGAAATGCAAAAACTTGTCACCACGAGGAATCGAACTAGGGACCCCTTTTCTGGTATTCAGAGAGCCGTTCAGGAAAAATGAACCATGCTTCTGTGGTCCCCATATGTGCCCCAATGTCATGCAAGAAATCATTTTGAAAAAGCTTGGCACATCCTGAACGACCTCCCTTGTTAGTGAAATGGCTGTGAATGAGACAATGTTGCTATTGCGATGCTGGATTATGGACGAGAATTGCTTTAACCGGGATTAGGCTGCAAAACGTTACGGCCGATCTTAGCCGAAGGATTTTGCCCACAACTGACCATAAGATCCGCAGTTGTGGCAAAAGCAGCAGCTCTAAAAATTATTCAAAAAATTGGTAATAATCGCATAATGTATTGAGTAGCCGAAATCATTTGCATGGCTAATGGCCATGAACGATCCCTAGAATCTACTCCAGTCGAGCACCACTTGACCATCATAATCGATTCAAAAATCCTTTCCGTCAAAGGATTCTCGTCAGTCAAAACTTCGTGCTTCCAACGAAAAACCTATTTTGTGCTCTATTCTGTCAGAACATGCCGTATCGCGACAGCATGTCATATCGGAGGCAATTCTCATGACTGACATTGAGAAAGATGGCGATCGCGAGCACTCCGTTCGGCTGTTTCAGCGCCAACTCCATCGTCGGGAAGCGGGTATTGCGATGGATCAGATGCAGTTCGCCGGCGTATCCAACCCCTAAATAAAATTCATCATTCCCTAACGTCACAACAGCACAACCAGAGACCCACCTCCTATGGTGTGTTCGGAGCCATTCATGGGCTCCGTTCCCCAGTGCCATGTGATTGAGTCCAGATGATACTGCTCCTCTGGCAGAAACGACACCGCCAACTCCGAATCATTGCCTTCACGTAGCAGCCAGACGGCGTTGCCAGAATTCGTTGCGCGAAAGTCGCCAGTATTGTGGTACTCGACCCTAAAATGATTTCATTCACTTGAAGTGGATACGAGCACCACTGAACCCTTATTTGTGGTTAATCGTAACGTGAAAAGGTGTATTTGTCGTTATCAAATGAAGCACGGTTTTTCAGCGAAGTGGTGGCAGAAAAGGGAAGGGATTGGAATGCTATGAGAGGGAAACTCGCAGTTCTTGAGCATATCAACGTTCCGCGATCCAAGAGCCGAATAAACCGGGTTGAGACGTTTTGCGGGAGTATGAATTGCTTTGACCCGAGTTGTCAAGAAGGATAACTTAAAGGAAGCGATTACGATAAAGAGGGAGCGCATCGGGAAGCATGTGCACCACACGAATCAGTTACTTGGTTGCCAGGGAAGCGAGATGTGGCGCTTTCACAACGAAAGGTGCGCTGGTTGCTGAGCAGGACTTCGAAAGCACTCCGCCCCAAAGCGATCCGCCCACTAGTTTACTTGGTGATTTTGACGAGCAGAAGTGATCAGCAGAGCGCAAATAGAGCATTTTGATTAAAGTGTAGTTTGGCAGATTGGATTGAATGCGTTGCGGTGAACCCGTTCATACTTCCCCTTTTTTTACTCCTTACCATGTTCGATGAGTGAAAGATCAGACGGCAAGAAATGGGGGCGTCCCGTTTTTGGTTTCTTGGTGCGTTGGATTTTCTCGTATTTTAGTGCTACTTGGTGCTTTTTATCCTACCTAACTCACATGTTAAACCCCTTCTTGAATTTACGTAATCGTGCATGAGCAATGTATAGTACACGTTAACCTTACATCTTCCCACCCACCAGAGTTGGCTAACATTAATATTATTTAGCACGACCCATCAGTCAGGTGTGTTTTCCCACCTTTTTGATTTTGTTTAAATTTTTCTGCCGTCATCAAACAAAATCCCAATCACCTTTAATAATAACTCGTTGATGGCATCGCTCTGCCTGTTTTCCGAGATGCGCTACGCATCGTCGATTCCGTTCGGAATCCGACGCATAATGCCATGGCGTACTCGGTGCAGATCAGCAATAAAATAAAGTGGCTGGGGAGCAGACAGCATCAAGTCCAACTTTTTGCTCTTTCACCGGAGCAGTTCGGTACTACGCGAACAATTTCAGAGTGATTCATGGAGGCATATGAAGGCATACAGTGGTGCCGCCAAGTGCCATTTAATTACTTTTTTCTACCAGTTTGATCAGCGAAAATGTGCTGTCATTGAAGTCTGAATTTTCTCAATTACTGTGCATATGACTGACCAAGCTGGTGTGTTTGGATTCACGAGTTGCTCACGTCCCTCTAGTGATGGAAATTGACTTGTGCCGGTCTCAACGTTTGCAAGGATCGTAAATTCAAGGAGCGAAGGTTCATCGGGTTCATCTAATTGCACAGTTTTTTCGAAAACCCGCCCATCCTCACTCTTTCCGTCGATAGCTACCGATTGACGAGAGAGGCTTTTCCGTGGCTACGACAAAATAGGAAACCATGTACATGTACAAAGCACTCAAATTTACGAAAGGTAATTTCAGAAACAGCAGATAACGCAAGAATTAGCCGCTGACAGGAGCCCTCAAAAAATGAGCCCTGTTTTAGTGCGACCCGTACACACTAAAAATTGAACCGCCAGGGGAACGTTTCAGTTTGATCGATTAGTGTTTTATTTAGCATTTTAGTGTTCTGACAGATTGCTGAATACCCATATTCAAAGCTGTTTCTTTCAACCAGTCACCTGAACTCGGCATTTTGCAGATGTTCTCCGAAGCAGGTGATGACCGGCACGATATCAATAGGTGAAGGGTAGCGACCCAAACCGGACACGTGCAGTACTTTGCCAAGTGAGTCGAGTTTTACCTAAAACAAATTAAACAGGAACCCAAGACAAAAATAGCCGATCTCCTGTAAAATTTACCCTATTGAGAAGTCCGTTTTTGGCATTCAACGCACTTTCGATCAACTTTGGGGCACCGTCCTAAATTTCGGACATAATTGATCGAATCCACAAATCAATACCCATGCAACAATCTCACTTTTAGTGACTGCAGATGTGCTCCGATGGCGGGCGCTCCTTCAGCCATCGTGGCTGTTTTTTCTTTCAATGTCTGAAGATGACCTGAGAGTTGGCTGAGAAACGCCATCTGGAATATGGATTTTGTCATGCTTCCTTGGATCTCGAATTAGAACGCTCAATGCGTGCAACACTTCGGGGCGAATTAGACGGAAGCAAAGCGAGTAGTGTGTCAAAAGAGTAAGCGATTCTTATTCAGAAGACCAGAATAATACGTACATAGGGCGAGGAAAGAATAAAATTGCCTCATAACCTATTTAC